GGTGCAAGCATCTCGGAGTTGGAATATACGCTTTGATAAGTTGATCAAAGCATATAGTTTTATACGGACTTGCAGTGAAGTCTGTATTTACAATAAAGTGAGTGGGAGCACTACAACCTTTCTGATAAGTATATGTAAGTGACATATTGTTGATCAGAAATGATGTAGAATTTTTCTGGAAAGCATAAAGAAGTGTTTGAAAGGAGTTCTTTAAAAGAAAGACCCCAGTAAAGCTACTTACATATTGAGCATCAAGATCTATTGAGATAGATCAAGACGCTTGATAAGATTTTCAATAAGTAAATACCTTGACAAGATTTTGAAGTAGTTCAAAATGGAACAGTCAAAGAAAGAGTTCTTGCCTGTGTTGCAAAGGTATGATATTGAGTAAGACTCAAATCCCGACCACGGCAGAAAATAGAAAGAGAATGAAAGTCATTCCCTATGCCTCAGTCATAGGTTCTATAAAAGTATGTCATGCTATGGACCAGACCTATTGTATACCATGCCCTGATTTGGCAAGGGAGTACAATTTTGATCTAAGAGTAGATCACTGGACAACGGTCAAGAAAATCCTTAGTAAGGACTAAGGAAATATTTCTCGATTATGGAGGTGATAAAAGAGCCCGTCGTAAAGAGTTACATCTGTGCAAAACTTTTACACCAATCCAGATGACTCTAAGTCTCAATATGGATACATATTGAAAGTGGGAGCAATTAGCTAGAGTAGCTCCGTGCAGAGCATTGTAGACATAGAATATTTGCAAAATACATGCGGTTCTGAATGTGACAGACCTGTTGACTAAACTTCTCTCACGAGCAAAACATGATCATACCTTAGTACTCTTTGGGTGTTAATCACATAGCGATGTGTTGGGGAACGTAGCATAAATTCAAAAAATTTCCTACGAAACACCAAGATCTATCTATGGAGAGACCAGCAACGAGTAGAAAGGGAGAGTGCATCTACATACCCTTGTAGATCGCTAAGCGGAAGCGTTCAAGTGAACGGGGTTGATGGAGTCGTACTCGTCGTGATTCAGATCACCGATGATCAAGTGCCGAACGGACGGCACCTCCGCGTTCAACACACGTACAGCCCGGTGACGTCTCCCACGCCTTGATCCAGCAAGGAGAGAGGGAGAGGTTGAGAAAGACTCCATCCAACAGCAGCACAACGGCGTGGTGGTGGTGGAGGAGCGTGGCAATCCTGCAGGGCTTCGCCGAGCACCTACGGGAGAGGAGATGTGTCACGGGAGGGAGAGGGAGGCAACCAAAGGCCTTCGGTATGATTGCTCCTCCTTTTCCCCACTATATATAGGGCCAAGGGAGAGGGGGGAGGCGCAGCCTTGCCCCCTCCTCCAAGGAAGGGGTGCGGCTAAGGATGGGGAGGAGTCCATCCTCCCCAAGGCACCTCGGAGGTGCCTTCCCCCTTTAGGACTCTTCCCTCTCCAAGTTTCCTTGCGCATGGGCCTCTTGGGGCTGGTGCCCTTGGCCCATGTAGGCCAAGGCGCACCCCCTACAGCCCATGTGGCCCCCCGGGGCAGGTGGCCCCACCCGGTGGGCCCCCGGGACCCTTCCGGTGGTCCCGGTACAATACCGATGACCCCGAAACTTGTCCCGATTGCCGAAACAGGACTTCCTATATATAAATCTTTACCTCCGGACCATTCCGGAACTCCTCGTGACGTCTGGGATCTCATCCGGGACTCCGAACAACATTCGGTAACCACATACAAGCTTCCTTTATAACCCTAGCGTCATCGAACCTTAAGTGTGTAGACCCTACGGGTTCGGGAGACATGCAGACATGACCGAGACGTTCTCCAGTCAATAACCAACAGCGGGATCTGGATACCCATGTTGGCTCCCACATGTTCCACGATGATCTCATCGGATGAACCACGATGTCAAGGACTTAATCAATCCCGTATACAATTCCCTTTGTCTAGCGGTATTTTACTTGCCCGAGATTCGATCGTCGGTATCCAATACCTTGTTCAATCTCGTTATCGGCAAGTCACTTTACTCGTTCCGTAACACATCATCCCGTGATCAAATCCTTGGTCACATTGCGCATATGATGATGTCCTACCGAGTGGGCCCAGAGATACCTCTCCGTTTACACGGAGTGACAAATCCCAGTCTCGATCCGCATAAAACAATAGATACTTTCGGAGATACCTGTAGTGCACCTTTATAGTCACCCAGTTACGTTGTGACGTTTGATACACCCAAAGCACTCCTACGGTATCCAGGAGTTATACGATCTCATGGTCAAAGGAAGAGATACTTGACATTCGCAAAGCTCTAGCAAATGAACTACTCGATCTTTTGTGCTAGTCTTAGGATTGGGTCTTGTCCATCACATCATTCTCCTAATGATGTGATCCCGTTATCAACGACATCCAATGTCCATAGTCAGGAAACCATGACTATCTGTTGATCACAACGAGCTAGTCAACTAGAGGCTCACTACGGACATATTGTGGTCTATGTATTCACACGTGTATTACGATTTCCGGATAATACAGTTATAGCATGAATAAAAGACAATTATCATGAACAAGGAAATATAATAATAATACTTTTATTATTGCCTCTAGGGCATATTTCCAACACGATGTGAACTAGATTATTGACTCTAGTAAACCCTTTGGATGTTGATCACATGACAATGTGAACTATGGGTATTAATCACATACATATGTGAATATTGATGTTAAATCACATGGTGATGTGAACTAGATTATTGACTCTAGTGCAAGTGGGAGACTGAAGGAAATATGCCCTAGAGGCAATAATAAAGTTATTATTTATTTCCTTATTTCATGATAAATGTTTATTATTCATGCTAGAATTGTATTAACCGGAAACATAATACATGTGTGAATACATAGACAAACATAGTGTCACTAGTATGCCTCTACTTGATTAGCTCGTTGATCAAAGATGGTTATGTTTCCTAGCCATAGACATGGGTTGTCATTTGATTAACGGGATCACATCATTAGGAGAATGATGTGATTGACTTCGACCCATTCTGTTAGCTTAGCACTCAGTCGTTTAGTATGTTGCTAATGCTTTCTTCATGACTTATACATGTTCCTATGACTATGAGATTATGCAACTCCCGTTTACCAGAGGAACACTTTGTGTGCTACCAAACGTCACAACATAACTGGGTGATTATAAAGGTGCTCTACAGGTGTCTTCGAAGGTACTTGTTGGGTTGGCATATTTCGAGATTAGGATTTGTCACTCCGATTGTCGGAGAGGTATCTCTGGGCCCTCTCGGTAATGCACATCACTATAAGCCTTGCAAGCAATGTGACTAATGAGTTAGTTGCGGGATGATGCATTACAGAACGAGTAAAGAGACTTGCTAGTAACGAGATTGAACTAGGTATTGAGATACCGACGATCGAATCTCGAGCAAGTAACATACCGATGACAAAGGGAACAACGTATGTTGTTATGCGGTTTGACCGATAAAGATCTTCGTAGAATATGTAGGAGCCAATATGGGCATTCAGGTTCCGCTATTGGTTATTGACCAGAGAGATGTCTCGGTCATGTCTACATAGTTCTCGAACCCGTAGGGTCCGCACGCTTAACGTTCGTTGACGATATAGTATTATATGATTTATGTATGTTGGTAACCGAATGTTGTTCGGAGTCCCGAATGAGATCACGGACATGACGAGAAACTCCGGAATGGTCCGGAGATGAAGTTTAATATATGTGATAATGTTGTTTGGTCTCCGGAAGGGTTCCGGAATTCACCGAAAGGGGTTCCGGATGTTTCCCGAAATGTTTGGGTACGAGAACACGTTATTTGGGCCAAAGGGGAAATCCCACAAGGTTTTTGGAAAGCGCAAAAGGAAGTTTTGCGGAGTCCAGGGGCCAGACGCCAGGGTCCCTGGCGTCTGGGTCCAGACGCCGGGAACCCTGGCGTCTGGCCCTGGAGTCCGAGAAGGACTCTTGCCTTTCGGGTGAAACCGACTTTGTGGAAGCTTTTACTCCAAGTTTTGACCCCAAGGCTCAACATATAAATAGAGGGGCAGGGCTAGCACCAAAGACACATCAAGAAACACCAAGCCGTGTGCCGGCAACCCCGTCCCCTCTAGTTTATCCTTCGTCATAGTTTCCGTAGTGCTTAGGCGAAGCCATGCGGAGGTTGTTCTTCACCAACACCGTCACCACGCCGTTGTGCTGCCGGAACTCATCTACTACTTCGCCCGTCTTGCTGGATCGAGAAGGCGAGGACGTCATCGAGCTGAATGCGTGCAGAACTCAGAGGTGCCGTGCGTTCGGTACTTGGATCGGTCGGATCGTGAAGACGTACGACTACATCAACCGCGTTGATAAATGCTTTCGCTTAGCGATCTTCAAGGGTATGAAGATACACTCCCCCTCTCGTTGCTATGCATCACCATGATCTTGCGTGTGCGTAGATTTTTTTTGAAATTATTACGTTCCCCAACACCTACCACATTGCGGTTCGAGAAGATGGCACCCACCAACGAACATGAGGAGAATAGAGAAAATATAGAGTGAACGTGGCGGCAAGCTAGGGTTTCGACTGTGTCACTGGCAACGCGGGGGACACATCGTTCTCATCGCTGTAACACATTTCAAATTTCATTGTGTTTTTCATTGTGTTCAAATTTCGCAGAAAAATACTTCCTTCGTCCGAAAATACTTGATCAAAATAGATAAAAATGAATATATTTAGAATTAATATACATTTAGATACACCTCATTTTATTCATTTAATGACAAACATTTCCGAACGAAGGGAGTAGTAAATGTAAAATGTACGGTGTACCGATTACCGAAGGCCTCGACTCAAACCATTTCCTAGTCCGCCTTCGAAGTGCCGGTTACGCCTATCCACCCAGGCCACGCACACCTGCAACTCCTTCCCCATCTCCTTCTCCCCAAAACTTCCGACTGTTCAAGGTTCAGACCCAAGCACCGCACACACCACCAAGCCCATGTCGGAGGCGTCCTCTTCCTCGGCGGCGGCCCCGGCCCCGGCCCCGCCCCCTGCGCCGGCGCTGGATCCGGAGGCGATCTCCCTCATGGCGGAGGAGGCGCCGCCGGAGGAGATTACGCTGGTCGTGAAGTGGAGCGGGAAGGAGTACACGGTGCGGGCGATGGGGGACGACACGCTGTTGGAGCTGAAGCGGCGCATCTGCGAGTTCACCGACGTGCTCCCCAAACGCCAGAAGCTTCTCTACCCCAAGCTCATACTCAACGACGAGTCCGTCCTCCTTTCCTCCCTCCCCTTCAAGCCCAACGGCAAGCTGACCATGATCGGGTAAGCGCGATTCTCCCCGCCCTCCTCGTGACTCTTAACTCCGTAGTTGCTTGGGTCGGATGCGTGCCTGCGAAAATCAGTGCATCCACATGGAATTGGATGATTATTTTGTATCGCCCCGCCGAAACGCTAGGTTTCGGTTGGTGAAATCGGCGGGAGATGCGAGCTTGGTGGGGATCGAGCGCAGATGCCACGGTTTTGCGATGTGAGAGGCTGGATTTGGAATGCTCCGTGAACCAATCGCTAAACCCTAGCTTGTTTGATCTCTTCTGTTTGCGTTGTGTGTTGGTGATTTGAACTTGTTGCTTTGTTTGATATGTTCTGGAACTGTGGAATTGGCGTATTTGATGGTGGATTTGGGCATTCGGTATTTCGGTGTGGCCGTATAAGGAAAACAGGAAGTACTTCTCTGTTTGACAGTTTAGAGTTTAGACGAATGGATTGGGGAATAATGTGGGTGGTGACAGCAGAACCGCGGCATCAACTGGCACTGATAGATATTAGAGCACACGATTTTCAGCTGAGAAGGATAAGATTACCTGCTCAAACATTTTATGGGTCGTAGTTTTAATTATACTTGTGTGTGCTGCGACGGTGTCCCATTTAGAGTGGAGTATATTAAGGGCACCACCACCAGTGAAATATCTGAAGTAAGTAAATTGTTGGCCTGTTGAATAACTCACTGGTGGTTGCATCATGAACTTTGTTCAGCCATTTTTTCACTTCTGGATCAGAACAGTTAGTTGTTCTTCAATGGTTACCATTTTTTATTTGTTTTTGACTTATGATGATACCATTTGGTGGTTGTTGTCTTTTACTTATGAAGACCGATAATGTGGCCTTCAGTCTACTTAGCATGGAGATGGTAACTGAAATTTAAAATGAAGTGAGAGCAAATCTGGTCTGTTTTTTTCACGAATAAGCAAAGCTTGCGTATCTTTTCATTGATAGAAGAAAGGAGAATGAGTACACTAGAGGATACAACACATGGCATGAACGCAAGGAGGCATGAGCATGGAACCCGGAGCAGAGAGGAAAGGGGTGCTCAGCCCAAACAGGGAAAAGGACACAACTAAACCCACCAAGCCTAAAATTGGAGAGACATGCCTAATAAGCGAGACGTTGAACATCTCCAAATCCAACACCGGGGATGCCACGAGCGAGCAAGATAGCGCCTTCAAGAAGGGGAACGACGTCGTGCCGCCGCCACCATCCGATCCAAAGAATTGGACCTAGGGTTTTCCCCAAAGCAGCGCCTCCAAGAAGGGAAACGACACGCGTGAATGTCGCCGCTGCCAGCATCGGTAAGCCGAGCATGGATTTCACTGGGCCTAAGTCCGAGCAATCCCGTAGCCGCCAGATCAGGGTCCGAAGATGAGGAAGTCAGTTCGCCGGTCGACCGCCACCTCAGAAGGTGATGGGGCTGCACCTTCTGAGGTGGCGGTACTTCATATTCATGCCATGAGGTGGCGGTACTTCATATTCAAATCTAGTCTGTTCGGATGGTGTTTTTCTGGGGCCATAATTTGCCCTTGTGTCTAAGCATTTTTTTCTGGACCCATTTAAGTAGTAACTTCAAATAACATAGTTCAGTTTTGTTAGATACTTCATATTCTGTTTTATGGTGTTAGCTACCCATCATATTTTTACCCATATTTGCCAATAATTTTGATAATGGGTTGTTGTTTGGTGAATCGTATTAAGCTACATAAATCAACAATTAAAAGTTTGTACAGATTCTAGTGGAATACTTACAGAAGTGAGGTAATTGATTCTGTCCACATAGATAGATCATGAGTTCAGGCTATTTTTATTTACAGTGAGATGATACATTTTGGGCGTGGAGTGTGGATTACTGCTGTAGCCTGTATGATAACAATCTTATGCCTGAATAGAAAGAAAGAGCCATGGGCGTGGAGTGTGCATTACTGCCGTCAGTGGTGAAGCTACTCCAAGACTCTGGTGTCAAGTGGCATTACAGATTTTTTTTAAGCAAACCTAGCTATAAATTACTCCCTCCGATCCAAAATAAGTTTCGTGGTTGAACTAAAACCACGACACTTAATTTGGAACGAAGGGAGTACTGTATGCTTGTACACAAATACTATATGCATGTACTTATTTGAGCTTTTGACATCACTAGGCTCAACTGCTAGCACTGCCACTGACTGCTGTAGCCTTCAGGATAACATTCTTATGCCCGGCTAGAAAGAGCCAATGCTATTTGTTTGGGAATGGGCACTTGACTTGATATTTTTGTAAAACATTTTCCTCCCCTAATATTTGCTCTACTCCTCACCAGTCCAGTTGTAGGATGATTAGTGGATGGTGAAGAAAGTGTATTTTAAGTGCATAAATTGCATAGGCATGTACCATAGCAATCACCTATTTGATAATTAATACTCGCATGCTTGTGGCCTTTTAGCAAGGTATTTTGTTGTGGGTACTGGATCAATTTTTTGAGCCAGAAAAGAGGTATTGTTGTGAACTACCTTGTGTGTGAAAGTGAGTCCGATCTTAATTTTAATTTATCCCTTGAGCTTTACTCAACATAAGTATATTATAATATTTAAAAAAAATCAAGGGCTTGAATTCAAATCACTCTTTTGGTGCATTCTACCTCAAACAACATGCTCCGTTTCATGCGGTTTCCTTCCGTATGGAAGGTGCACACTGTTCCCTCACAGTAATTTATAGATCTGTTATATTGTCTTGCACTGAATTTCAGTACTGTTGAAGATGAAATATTTGTGGACCGACCAGATGATCCAGAGGTACTCGATGATTATGAATTTTTCAAAGATGAAGTTACTGCTATCAAGGATAATGTTCTCTACAAGCAAAAAGTGAAACGTCGTGCAAGCCAGTATAAGGTATATTTCCTTGGCATTTTTCTTTCTTGCTATATGTTTCCTCCATATGCATGCTTGTGTAGTTGCACACTGGTACCTATTTGTGTTAATTCTGATGCACTTCTTGGTGCCTGCTCTCCCTTCAATCTGTGTGAAATTGGTCCAACTTTCTGCATGGTCCAGCTTTGACTAATTTAAACACTTCGACATTAGACATTACTATGTGCTTTACCATGTACTTGAAGCTTTGTGAGTCTTCTTGTGTAACAGTACAATGATGGTGACCTTCTCGTGTCTCTATACTTGAACCTAGATTCATGAAGTTCTTTGAGCAATGATCTTTTAACCATAACTCTGGTGTGTATTTCCTTTATTATGACCTAATGTTGAGACAACAACAGAAGCAACCACTAAAAGGAGTCCATACTGTTGGTTATGATTACGAAAGGAAGTTGTTGGGCCGTGCCTTACTGCCTTGTTAAACTTACTGTAAGATGAATTTGAGGTGTGATGACAAAGCGCTTGTGTCCTGTATTTGCCTTGGTTGCCTTGTACTCCCTCCGTCCGGAAATACTTGTCATTGAAATGGATGTATCTAGATGTATTTTAGTTCTAGATACATCCATTTTCATCCATTTTGATGACAAGTAATTCCGGACGGAGGGAGTATAAAATTATAAATTGATTCTCCAGGTCTGATTAACACATCTTTTTGTGCCTATGCATGTAGATCAAGCTCTTGAATCCATGCCGCGATGGAAAAAGATTGCTTGTGTTAGACATTGACTATACTCTGTTTGACCATAGGTCTCCAGCTGAGAATCCTTTGGAACTCATGCGTCCATGTAAGTACACTTTTGATCCACAAAGCTGTGTTCAGTCAGCAGACTTGAAGTTTCATGCCATAATTCCTTTGCAGTTCTCCACGAATTTCTCGCTGCTGCATACGCAGAGTATGATATCATGATATGGTCAGCAACAAAGTAAGCCTTTTGCTACCCTAAACTATCTATTGATCAGTCATGATCGCAATGTGAAATTGGTATAAATGATCACTGTCGACCCTTTGAATGCAGTATGAAATGGGTGCAGCTGAAGATGGAGCAACTTGGAGTTCTTAGCAATCCCAACTACAAGATCACCGCCCTTCTGGATCACATGGCGATGATAACTGTGCATGCTCCTGACAAGAAGGTCTTCGACTGCAAACCTCTTGGTGTCATCTGGACCAAGTTCCCCGAGGTTGGTGTTCTGTGCTCGAGTGCATCACTAATGAATGTGATATTTTCAAGACTCAAGTTCAATTATCTAACCACCATCGCTCCCGGTTCCTCCATATGCAGCACTACAGTGAAAAGAACACAATCATGTTTGATGACCTCAGGAGGAATTTCGTCATGAACCCACAGAACGGCCTCGTGATCAGACCGTTCAAGAACGCCAGTAAGAACCGAGGCCGCGATCAGGAGCTGCGAAAGCTCACGCAGTACCTGCTCTCCATTGCGGAGTTAGAAGATTTCAGCAAGCTGGAGCACGACGGTTGGGAGTCCTTCATGGACGAAACCGGCAAGAGACGCAGGCGCAGGTAGTTTTCTTCGGTATAGCGATCGGCAGGCAAGGACTAGGCCCTACTACTTTTTGTCAAGTGCCATCGACCGCACACACTAGCGCACCGGAATGAGCAGGAAAACCCTAATGTCCACTTGAAACACACCGCGAAAAACACCCCAGGCTTAATCTGCGTTGGACTTTTTGGCGAGTTACACTTGTGTCGGAGCCTTCAGCTGCGCGCTTTTCCAGTTTCAACGTGGAATTATTAGCTTTTCACTGTGATTTTGGTCCATCTGTTCCTGCCATCACTGTATCTGGCCTCTAGCTTGCATGGGCGCGAACTGTTCTGCAACAGTTGGTAGGGTGGTAGAGGAGTATCGTGAGCAGGGCATGGACATGCGATGGGTTTTTTTGACTGGGCTGAGTTATTACTACTGCCAGTGTGATGGTGACGAACTGATGACTGCTGAGGCTGGGTAGCATCCGGCTGACTGACTGGCTCTCCCAGCCAGCGTAGTATCATTTCGAGTATCATAATGGTGCCCCAGTCTTACCAGTCTACGGCGTCTGTATGTAGGAACCAGGCCAAGTTATTATGGTCCCTGCCTAGCTAGCTGTCGCCGTGTTCGTTTCCTTGTCCTGCCCATTGCGCAGGATCTTGTAAAGTTACGTGAATCTTACCTCAGCCGTATGTTTACCGAGGTTATTTTACCTGTATTTTACGCGTTGCAGCTACCTAGATTTCGGTTAGGTTTTTCATTGCGATCCGCGCCTTCACGTGGCAATCGGGGTTCTTGCCCGGTTGCTCCCCAGCCGACGACCATCATCAGGGCACCGGTGTGTTGGGATTTCAGTGAAGGACTCCCTGCAGACAACAGCCTCATGTGGACCATGGCCATGCCTAGCCCTAGCCGAGACAATGATGCACCTCCTGGCTCCTGCTCCTAAATAAAATTGGAGCGAGTTATAGCAGGCCCCGGCCGGGGTCAGTTGTTTGGATGTCACCGCGATGCCAAACTCGTTCCTCTTAGATTTCCTATTTTCACCTGACACTGCAGTGACTTCGTGGGTTGCAAGTCATTGGGACATGGGTGCAAACCATGCAGTAAAGAAAACCTCGAATATACTTGAGCAAGCAAGGAGCACTCAACAACATCATCAGTCTTTTGTGCAACACAACACGATGATGGTACAACAAGCTACAGATTACAGTCTTGCAGAAAAATATTAAAAAAAAGGGTACAAATTACACACACTGAAAAGACGGCAAGGCTGTAGGAGGGTCAAATCCTAGGACTCATTCAGACTTTACATTTTACAGCACGATGGGGCAGCAGCACGATCCACCGCAGCGACACACGAACGACATGGCCGCATGCCGCACGCCTGCACGGACATCTTTTTTTTATTTTTTTATACTCGACGGGTTAAAAAGCACAGAATGGGACAGATTTACGGGGAGTAAAATATGAGAGGATCACGCAGGAACGAACTAGACAGACAAACTCAGCAGCAAGCTCTATAAAAACATCGTCGTGGGCATGGCGGATGGAGGTCACGGTCAGGCGAGGAGCCAGAAGTTCTTTTGCCACCGGGTGCTGACGAGGTAGCCGCCCACGCCCTTGCTCTGCTTCCTCACCGCCAGCGTCAGGCACTCGGCCTGGTTGATGCACTGCTCCACCAGCTCCTCCCCGCTGCTCCGCGTCAAGCTGCACACACGTTTCCATTTCTTCATTCAGACAAGGTCTAGTGGTTTCTTTTTTTTTAGGGGATTCAGACAAGGTCTAGTAGAAGTAGCTAGTGACGAATGATGACAAGATGAAAAGTTAACCACCTGACTCGGTTTCCACATGATACTTTACTAGCACTACATCGCTGTTATTATCTCTTGTCGACATGAATGAACGAAGATGGCAACAATTATAGGCCGTTTGCTTTACTTAGTTGGGAGATGCAGCTAAAGGGGACAAGGAAAAGCATCTGGGATTTATGGACATCACATGGATCTGCACTAGCCCGGTGGTGTTTTCCGGAAAGACACGCATGGACCCTGCCATTGAACGGGTGTGAGCCCGATCGAGCCTGCCTGCCCAGGAGCCGTCGTTTGTGAGTCCTGACTGGACCGGACCCTCTCATCAATCAATTATCATAAAAGGCTTTGCTTGCACAAGATCTGCCGGTGGTGGTTTACTGTGTTCTTTTCCTGAAGGGATAGGCTCAAGGGAACTGATACGAGTACAGATGTAAATACAATACAGATGTAGCAGTGCGGATGAAGTTTTTTGTTGGGATTCGGGATCCAGGTATGAATGACTCTGAACTACCCCCTTTTAAAAACCGCACCACACACTGCACTGTACAGGCTGACACCATGATAGTTGATAGATTCTCCCGGCCGGTAGGTTTCTATCTACTCACAGTTGACCTTGGCCTCACATTTTTAACACAAGCACTCAATAGTGATAAGGTAGATAGACACAGTATTCTTAAAAAGAAAAGGTAGGCAGTAGATATACAGTATGCTGTATACAGTAATGCATGTCTGCAAGAATGTATGCTTACCAGCTTAGCCAGCAGAAGGTAGAGGGCTTGGTTTGGCTGAGCACCAGCACGGAGGCCTCCAGCTTCTTCACCTGGCTGAGGATGGTGCCCAGCTTGGGGCCTTGGATCACCAGCGCCTCCACCTCCACCTACCAACGTTCACACGCAACACCATGAGCCCTCCTTTTTTTCTTTCCTTTTCGACAGACAAATGCAAGCAAGAGGACACACGAACAGTTCATGCAACGTACGGCGACAGGGGAGTAGAGTACTACTCGTGTACTGCGCCACATTGAGGCTCTGACTTTTGATTCAAGCAACCAAAGCAAAGCAGATCACGGCCGGCAGGCTTGGGTTCCGTACGTAGTAATGCCCATGTTTACGGCCGGTTTAGGTGGGATTTTGCTTGGGGTTGGGGCGAGCCCCCACTGGCTTGTTTGTTTGCTTGCTAATCCGTTCTTTATGCGGGCTGAGAGACCTTTGGGGCCTGCCGAGATCCATCCCACGGCCATGAAAAGTGGGCGATGATTCCCTTTTTTTGTGTATGTTTCTGATCTGATCTGATCTGTATAAAATACAGGGACCAACCAGATGGATAGGCTCGCCATTTTTAACCAAGTACTGAAGGTGTCTCTCCCTCATCATGTGGACTTCAGGATGGCGGGATTAACCAGGAAACCGAAACTTTACGCTATTGACTCTCGGCGGCAACACTATGCTTGAACATTTTCTTATCTGGGCCTAAGTATGTATGAGCTGCTAGTAAGCATGCTTGCACTTTTAGATAATGAAACATGCTTGCATGACTATATAGAATATCAAGACATTTTCTCTAGGTTTGATTTCTATGAACTACTACAAGTAAACATGGAGTACAGTGGAACTCCTTTTCAATAAATAAATGAACTCCGAAGTACATGTTCTATTGGTGGTAAAACACAAACTTTTGTGAACTACTTCTAGAATCTCTTGGGCATGCTTCCAAGCGCACGCTTCCAAAGGGGGAACCCGAACCAAGCTAGACTGTAGAGACTAGAGACAAGCTCCTTAAAATGGCGATTTGAAGCAAAAATGAAGAAGCACAGTTAGCTAGCTCGAAATAGTGCTGCACTCAGATAGTTACATGGCATGCATGTACTACTTCCGTTGGCTGTGTGATGCAGAGGCCGGGATAAACTCCTTTTTTTGGGGAAAATGCAAGTATTTTCGTCCTAGAAAAGAAGAATGCTCGTAACTTAACAGAGAAATGGCACACGTATGATACCTCAGGCCTGCAGGCCTTGCAGAGCGTGCCGAGGGAGTTGGCGAGGGAGGGCGCCTCCTCGGCTCCGGCGCCGTAGTGTGGCAGGATGTGGAGCAGGGTGAGGAAGTCCCCCCGGTTGGCGACGTGGGTGAGCGCCCACATCATGGCGTGCTTGGCCCCGGAGCTGTCGTCCACCACCACCATCACCCGCTTCCTCCCCGCGGCCGCCGCCGACGCCGCCGCCTCCCCCTTCCCGCCGCCGCCGTACCCTCTCCCGGCCCGCTTCTTGGACCACCGCCTCGAGCCCCTCCTCCTCCCTCCGCCGCCGCCGTACCCGTCCTGCGCGGCCTGCAGCCCGTTGCTGGAGCTCAGCTGCCTCAGGAAGTGCTCCCCGGAGCCGCTCGCCATCTTACGGCGCCAATGCCGGCCGCGCGCGCGCTGGTGCAGAGGACTGTGCAGGAGTGGAGTGATGGTGTTAAGTGGAGGGAGTGGCACGGCCGGAGCGATATAAGGGTGGATGGGCGGGGGAAAGGACAAGGCCGCTTAGAAGAGAGGAATCATGGAGCGGGTGGATTAGCCTGCTAGTGGTCACGAGCGCGCTCCACTTGTACTGCACACACACACACAAAAACCTGAAGAAAGCGTGCTTAAGTACTTAAGCAGAGAGCATAATGCACTGCAAATATAATACCTACAAGGGAATCGCTGCACATTCTCATCCGTTTTGGCCTTGCGTATGCACCGTCACATATGGGTACGGATGATTTTCATGGTCTCAGCTAGCCGGGGCTGGCTGTGCGCGGGAGAGAATATGTCAGGTTTCGTCGACATGCATGGTTGGCTCCAAACCGGGACGGATTGGTCAATACGGCATCAATCGTAACGCACGGAGCTCTTGGCGCCACTCCCATACTTATCATGTGCTCATAAATTCCAAATGGTTTCCATATGCTACCAGTGGATCTTGTTTCTTATTCACGTGCTAACCCACCTAGCTAGCTATCCGGCCAGCCCTTTGCGTACGTGTGCAATCTCGGGCAGTACTGAAGCTAGGATTAAACATTGCTCCATCTCGCTCTCAGCGCGGCTCTAGTTGATACTCTAGCTCAAATCCCGCGGATTTGCCGGGACCAGCTAGCTAGCTAGCTAACAACGAACCAACGCCTCACTCGCTCACTCAAGCCTCTGACAGTCCTCACACGATTCTGGCTGTATGCACGGTTGCACACCACGCAGCTCCAGCCAGCCATTCGA